AAAAGGATCGGATTTGATGTTTGAAATGTTGAATTTGAGCTTGGAGGTTCAATCTGGAAATTCCAGATTTTGGACCCACGCTTAAGCGTAAGACTTCACGCTCGAGCGTACACTCTGAGTACATGCTTCCCGCTCGCGCGGGGAAAGTAATGCTCGAGCGTGAAATGCGTGTATCCAGTACTTTTCATATGTTTATAGTCTGCTCAAGCGAGGGAATGCACGCTCGAGCGATGACTTGTGTCTCATGCTCGAGTGGAGGTCGAGCGCCCATCGAGCGTGAATTGCATGCATCCAGTACTTTTGCCTGAGTTTGTAGTCCGCTCGAATGGGGAAAGTCACGCTCGAGCGGAGATCTTTTGTCTGCATGTTCGCTCGAGCGTAGAAAGCCACGCTCGAGCGAGACCCCTGTTTTTTGAAAATTTTGAAAAGTGTTTTAAAGTACATCTTTACATCCTCATTTTATCCTAGGCATTCCTAGGCCTAGTTTAAGGCATCTTAATGAGATTATTGATATAGAACCACATCGAGTCAAGTAAGGGGTTAAGTTATTAAACCCAAGTGTATAACTTAGTGTGTGTTCGTTCTGTAACTGTAGGGTTGGCATCCGAGGACGCTCATTAGCTGCTTATAGCCTAGTGTTCTGTGAGTAACAATGTTGTAAAGATATGTTCAATTATGAATATTTTCTGAATGATCAACTGTTCTGTTTAATGAAACGTTATTGTTTAACGAATGAATGTTTGTCCTATTTGTAAACTGTATTCATGGCATCCATAGCAATTTACTGTTGCTGTACTGTTACTGCTACTGTCACAGAGATCTCTGTCGGTTCCCATGTTTGGAACCACTACTGTTTACTGTTATGATGGCCATCAACTGACTGTTCGGTCTGTTAAGACCTACTGTACTGTTTGCTATTGGATGTACCACATATAACTGCTATGGTTTCTAAATGACTGATATGACTATTTAATGACTGAAAGGACATTCATGCTTAACCTCTTTACACAACTGTTATTCACTGGACTTTAGCTCACTGTTTATATATGTATGTAGGTGTCCAGACACCGGATCGGAGCTAAGAGCGTTGGGTTAAGCTCCCTTTTTGTCAAGCCAACCAACGTGCCTCACTGTGAGGTTCCAAGTATGTCCAAGCTTAGGCTTGTTTGGGGTGTCTCAGTTCACCCTTCTGTCTCTATTTTGTAATACTGTATAGACTTATACTGTACTGTTATGGTAGGGATTTGGTCTCTAACCTGAATGCCTGTATATGATGTATGTACATACTGCTTTTGTTCCGAATGTGAATGTGTTATGAAAAGTCTTTTTGCATACAGACTGTCACAGCTCATTAGACATCTTTCATTTACTGTTTTGGCTTCCGCCAGCCCCTGTACTCTGTATTACTGTTATTACTGTTAAGCAGGCCTTCGGTAATCACAGATTACTGGCCGGTTATGGTGCTAAACCCATAGGGGTGGTTTTAGGTCGTGACACATCCTCAGTGAGGTACTTTGATTGTAATATGTCCCAAAGTTGCTTTGCTGTTTCTAGATGTTGATATACATTGAACAGAGAGTCTGACAGTGCATTCAAAATGTGTCCTTGGCAGATGTAGTCGTCATTCTCCCATTTGGTTCTAGTACAGGTTTGCTCCATAGTCTCATTTTCTTGCTCCACCAGATAGGGGGTAGTCAGCACATAGACCACTTTGAGAGTGGTGAACAAAATGTGCATCTTCTTTTGCCAGCAACAATAAATTCCTCCATCAAATCGGTCAAGCTTCATGAAATCTTGAGTCATTTTCTGAATAGACATCGCCATATCTGATTATTATCTTTAGATTGTTGGAACAATTCGTCTTGAATTCTTCAGTTGGTGGTCTTCGGGTCTTCAAAACTTGGCGACGATCTTGTCTATGTAGAATAGAAATTTGGTGCTTCAAGTCACGTTACTTAGTCGTTTTCCTAAAGACAATATTTGTACCCATCAAAAGGTGTGTAGGGGGTTATAGCAAATTTACCTCCAGGATACAATGAAGTCTGATATAAAAGATCAAGTCTACCAGTGTCTGCACTGACGACAGTAGATCAGAATACTCTTGATATAATCAAGAAAACCAAGACACTAATAATCAAGTTTGTAGAATTTAATTACCAGTAAGAAAAATAGAAAATTACTGAAGAAACTCAAAATTAAGAGAGAGAGAGAGAGAGAATTGCCGGAATGCTTTTGAATTTTGGATGGAATGAAATGGCTGAATTCCCAACCTATTTATAGGCCTTGATGTATCTTATCGAAAGATCATGTCCTTTGATCGTATCCGATCAGATCTGACCGTTGGATCGGCAATCTACGGTGCATATCATTCTCATACTGAATAGTTGTCTTGATTAATCACACCTAATCATGATCGGGTGCCATCTCATTCGTACGATTGCACGTATCTCCAATCAACGGCTATGATCAAACCACTCTAGATCGAACACACAATCGTTCGATCGGTTGGTTGACTTATTGCCAACGGAAGTCACGTCATCGCTTTAGCTTGTCTGATGCAAATAGGAAAGCGCCCTCATGGCGTCTTACGCCGATGCGTCCGTGTAAAGTGCGCCATCAAACGCCACGCAGCCTGCGCCATGTGCGCATGTGTGTGCACCATCTTTGCGGTGTAAGTGCATGTACATTAGCATCCATCCCATGATACCATATTCAAAGGAATATTCCATGTAGCACTTTAGTAAGTGCTCTATGTTTTGCTCTTTTTCCAATGTGGGATAAAGTTCCCAAGCTAATTTCAAGCTTTCCAAAGAAAAATAAGAAAGATTTTGAAAGCACCTAAAACTTGAATTATAAATTCAACAATGATTCATCCCCCCTTTTCCTCCCACCCCCTTTGACCCCCTCTCTCTCTCATTGGTTACATTTTCTTTTTCTTTTTCTTTTTTTTCCTGCTCCTCCAATCACCCCCGCCACGTGACAAAGGGGGTGAGGGGGTGACCCCCAAAAGGGGGTCCCAAGCATTATTCTTATAAATTTTAAAAACCATTTTGAAAATTCCCTAACCCTTAGCATGTAGACAACACATTGATATACATAGAGCTTTGAATTTTGAACGCAGAAGAAAAAAAATAGTAAAGGAAAAAAATGGAAGAGCGAGTGTCATAAATAATTGATTGGATGTTTGAGGGGATGATTGGGTAGTCAATTCAATTGGTATTCATAATTTGATATGCATGTGAGTTTAAGCTACCTTAAACTACTTTATGTTAAATTATATTTTGTAAACTCGGTTATTATTTCAAATGTATAATATGTTATTTGAACATTATTTGTGTGAAAAGGGAAACCATGAATATAAATGTTTATTAAATATGGATTTGATAACGATTTGATAAATAATCATTTAAATAAATATTTCTACAAGTATCTTTACAGATGTATTATGTTTTAGGGTACTTTAATAACTATTGACCCTCTGTTTGTCACTTTGGTGACCCTTTGGTGTGAAGTAAAGTGTTAGGCGGAGTTAAATGCTACACTATTGTTGGAGCTATCATTAAAATTTGTACAAGCTACCTCTTGATCCATTGATCTGTATCGTTGTGGATCCATTGACTCTCTAATCAATATTGCTCATGAATATGGTTATATGTTTTATATGGTACCGTATATATGATTTCAAAAATATAATTCTGCTATCTAAAGTGGACATGAGTAATTTATATGTTTTGTTTGAAATGTTTATGATCTGATCAATTTTGACTTAAATGTTTATTCATCGTGATTTTATAACTCTTATACTCTCAGTATAATATTCATCACTTTGCAATATGTTTATAAGCTGTTTACTAATTTTCATAAAATAATGATTAGAGAGGGAGGTCTATGGCTCGTTTTGAGAATAGGAACATGAAATAGATATATAGTGCACTTTTGTGATATTTGTAAAGACCGATCTATTCAATTAATATCCTTTTTATTATAATTAACTAAAAACTCCGATATATATTTTAATATTTTATTTAATTAATTATCTTTGCATACATTTATTTATTTAATTATTTTGTAATGGGGCGATACCCAACCTTCGCAAGACTTTTTTACTCCTAGATTAACATCATTCTTCAACACATAAACAAGTTCTTGGAAGTGGGGGTGTTGTTCCACAACAATGCTACCTATACATTAGAAATGTGTGCATTTTATATATTTTTAATGTACACCATATTAAGGCCTCACTTGGTGTGGTTTTTTAGTTTAAAAAAATTTGAAAGTTACAAAAAAATTAAAATATCATATCATATACATCAATTAATTATTATTATTTTATTATAAAAAATTCAAAAAATTCAAAAAAAAAAAATTAAGTTATTAAATAGACACAAAATTCAAAATTACACCATAAAACTAATTTTCAAACACATTTATATGTACAAAAATGCTAGAGGTCCCAAAAATTTTACCAAAAGTTTTACCAAATGTCTCACATGGATGTGGGACCCACATGGGACCCACATTGTGTGAGTCCCACACCCATGTAAGACATTTAGTAAAACTTTTAGTAGAATGTTTGGGGTCTCTAACATTGCTCTTATATGTACATAGGATATGTGTTTCATCCAATGTAAATTGCATCTAGACATCTATATTATGGCAATAATTAACCTTAATGACTAAAGTTTTAGTGAAAGCAACAAAAAGCAATTAAAAGAAAGCTAACCAAGCATTATTGGCATGTTTGATTGGAAGGATTAGAACATGGGATTGAGATTATTAATCCGTGGGCTCAATTATCCCATGTTTGTTTTGATATTTTGTTTTGGGATTATTAATCCAATGGATAATTAATCCAACAAATTTGTAGGATTATTAGTAATGGGGTAGGGGTGGGATTGTAAATACCACACTAATTTAATAGGATTGTTAATACCTCACTATTAGTCAGTCTTGTGGAATCAAACATGGCCTATTTGTTTTATCCTTTATACCATCGACATTGAGTCATCAACCACTACAAATACATGATGATAACAACTGAACTCCCACACTGAAAGCTCTGTGTGTGTCTGTGTTCGTCTTTTTGGTTGCAGACATGGTTTCAAACTCTCCACCAGCTCCAAAGGTAAGCATATGTGATTAATATCTAACTTAAAATCCATTTTCAAAGTCTCTTCTTAATTCACTTAGGTTGTTTTTGGAAGGTAGGAATTTGAAAAGGGAAAGAAGCATCACCTTTTTCTTTCCATTTTCAATTTCCTACCTAAATTCATGATAAAAAACACAGCCTTATGCTTTATTTGGATCATGAATTTGGGTAGTGATTTGGACAGGCGAGGAATTCATATTTCCCTCGTCTTTTCCTTTCTCTGTTGAAATTTCTAGCCAAATTCATGATTCAAATATAGTCTTACTCTGTTTTGTTGTTGTTATATTGGAAACTAACTCTGGTATGGTTGCAGGAAGTTCCAACGGAGGAGGATCAATGGATGGAAAAGGGGCCACCTCGAGAAGCAAAATGGTGGTATTCAACTTTTCACACAGTCACAGCCATGGTTGGTGCTGGTGTTCTCAGCTTGCCCTATGCCATGGCCTATTTGGGATGGTCTCTCTCTCTCTCTCTCTCTCTCTCTCTCTGTTTTTGTTATGCAGTTGGAAGTGTTTAGGTTTGCAAAGAAAGGTGTTCAAACATCATAGGTTGGTTTGTAAAATGAAGTAAATTACTTGAGCTCAATTATGTTCTCCTCGTTAAAAATTTATTTGAGTTCGGTTTGTTATATAAACAAATTGAGCTTAAAAGTATTTTGGAACATGTTAATTTTTCGAGCATGACTCCAACTTGGCTTGATGAGTCTACATGCACCGTAAAACTATATAAAAACAAAATTACTTGAGTTTTAACTTGTGATCGACTCAAGTAAGGTTAGTTTTCAATCAATTCAATAAATAAATAAATAAATCAATCAAAATTGTATAGATTTTTAAAACTAGTTTAGTTTTCAAATCAAATTTAAACAACTTAATCAATTGACGCGGCTCCGTCCTACACTCAAAATCAGTATTGTATCAGTAATGTTAGGGATAAAGAACACAGTCTAAGAAAAAGACCAAGAACATTATGAATTTAGCTTCAGAATTGCTGGTCCTAGTATTACTGGTCTTGTATTGGCATGACCTTCCAAGGACTTCACTGAGTTGCCCTCTCTCTCTCTCTCTCTCTTAGGGGTCCTGGGACAATGTTGCTGGTCTTTTCATGGTGCATCACCCTGAACACTATGTGGCAGATGATACAGCTCCATGAATGTGTCCCCGGGGTTCGCTTCGATCACTACTATGACCTCGGTCGACATGCCTTTGGTCCAAAACTTGGGCCATGGATAGTGCTGCCACAGCAGCTAATTGTGCAGGTTGGTTGTGACATAGTGTACATGGTCACTGGAGGCAAGTGTCTCAAGAAGTTCATGGAGATAGTCTGCACAAATTGCACTAGGATCAAGCAGTCCTACTGGATTTGCATCTTTGGATCTACACATTTCTTCCTCTCTCAGCTCCCCAATTTCAATTCTGTTTCTGGGGTTTCTTTGGCTGCAGCAATTATGTCTCTAAGGTATGTACATAGAAGTTTTGATCTCGTTTTCAAAAAATACTATGTACCGAGAAAATTACTTTTGCACATTTTGTTGGTGTATTGTGAAATATATGGGTCAATTTCACTTTTATCCCATAAATTATTGTAATCTTTTTTATTTAAATCCTAAACTATCAATTTTATTTATTTATTGATTAAAATTTCTGATTTCAATACATATGATTTAATTGGTAGAAACCTAACCTAACGGACAGAAAGGTAATTTTACTAGTTGGACATTACTTGTCATCTTACTCGCGCTATATTAGACAACTTATGCTTTATAACCAAACATACATATTCTTTTTCCACCCCTTCATTTCAAAATAGTGAATAATAATAAAATGAAAAAAAAAAGTGTCTGGTTGAATGGTTTAATTTGTTCAAATTTTAAAATGATATTGGTGTTCACCAAATTAGACTTCAACAGTTATTGATTTGGACAACCGTCTCCAAGTGGACCACATTATCTATAATTAGAATTTTTAAGGATTAAATTGATAGAATTAATAATTTATTGACGAAATAGAAAAAATGTTGATAATATAGAGGAATAAAAGTGAAATTAAGGCGAAATACAAATTAGTCTTGGTTTGCTGTGAAATCAAGTTTTTCTGATTTTCCAACTTTAATTACGAAAGGTTCAGTTCACGCAAATTTTTAGTGTGCGAAGGGATTTCCTCCGGACTACAAAGGTAATGCATTTTCAATTGTACATCATAGTGAAAATCTTAAAATACGAGAATCTTGAGGCACAATGTGAGACTGAAAGTGTATTGGATATAGGAGAACAAGAATTTTGGATATAGAGAATCCCGTGACGTATCAAGCCCATGTCGGCACTGTAATTAATGACCTCAACTTGAAGTTAGCACCCAATAGACAAGATACCTGTAACTGAGAATAACAATCTTAAGTGACATTTTTTGATCTTTATAAAATTCTACTCGTTCAAAAAAAATAAAAAAAATCTGAAGTCACATTTTTTGTTCATAATTTTCCAGAAAAACCATTCAGAATCAAATATTTGAGAAAATGTAAAACTGCTAGTTTTATGTGTCAAAAACATCATCACTTGGTTTTCTATAGATTTTGGACAGAGGACTATAAAATTTCCCAAATGATGATCATAAATTCACACTAATTGACTCACTTGAGGTTATGATTGTTGCAGTTATTCAACCATAGCATGGGTTGGTTGCTTGAGCAAAGGGCGAGTTGAGAACGTGAGTTACGCATACAAGAAAACTAGTGGAGCCGATTCCATGTTTCGTGTCTTCAACGCATTGGGCGAAATTACATTTGCATATGCTGGCCACGCGGTTGTCTTGGAAATTCAGGCCACGGTTCCATCCACCCCTGAAATGCCCTCAAAAGTACCCATGTGGAAAGGTGCCGTTTGGGCCTACTTCATCAATGCAATTTGCTATTTCCCGGTAGCCCTCATCGGATACTGGGCATTCGGGCAAGATGTTGCTGATAATGTACTCGTGGCGCTTGAGAGACCTTCGTGGCTCATTGCCGCTGCTAATTTAATGGTGGTCATCCATGTCATTGGCAGCTACCAGGTATGAACCAAAGATCAAAAAAAAAAAAAAAAATCTATTAAACATTGTATCACATGGTTTACATATGCACAAAGACAAACTATGTTCATTTATGCACATGTATTTACACATACACAGGGATAGTAGATGTTGGATGTGATGGAAAAATGGTTTCAGGTTTATGCCATGCCAGTGTTTGATTTGTTGGAGAAGGCAATGGTTAAGAGGTTGAGCTTCCCGCCTGGAATTGGTCTCAGAATCATAGTTCGTTCTGCTTATGTTGGTGAGAATTCTCTAAACATGACCTGCTTTTGGTAACAAGAATGCTACAAACACAAAATTTTCACAAAAATGCACATAATACAGTGTTGACATCAGTAGAAAAGTACACAAGATAAAGTGTTGGCAGCTGCGCAATAAAAAAGTGCACAGAATGCAGTGCTGACAGTAACAGAAAAGTACACCGAATGTAGTGCTGCGGATTCTCGAACAAGAACAGCAGATTCAATACTCTGCTCAATGCTACATTACATTCTGTGCACTTTTCTACACACGTAGTACATTTTTTCATCGACAATTTGGTTACTGGTTCTTGCAGCCTTCACACTTTTCGTTGGGGTCACCTTCCCTTTCTTTGGTGATCTTCTTGGTTTCTTTGGCGGATTTGGTTTTGCTCCAACTTCTTATTTTGTAAGTCAACTAACCTATGAAGTCATGATTTCCACATGAAAACAACAAAAAATGTGCATTGGAGAAGGTGCTAATTTAAGTTGTGAATTGTTTTCAGCTCCCTAGCATCATATGGTTGATAATTAAGAAGCCAAAGAGATTCAGCATCTCATGGTTCATCAATTGGGTAAGAAAAATTGTAAAAAATACAAATATATATATCATATTTTTTTTTTCCAGAACCAAAACAAGAACAGTTACATTTACACGTACATATTTCTATTTTTCGATCAAACTATTTTAAGTTGAACATTGTTACATTAATAACGCATGTTTTTTTTTGTGTGTGTGTGTGTGTATTTCAGGCGTGCATATACATCGGAGTGTTTGTTATGTTGGCGTCCACAATTGGCGGGTTGAGAAACATTGTCATTGACTCCTCTACCTATGAGTTCTACTCATGAATAATGAAAATTCATTCTATCAAATGAAATGTATAATTTGGTATGTATTCATCATATTTGGCAAGCAACTCCGATATTGATGGATTGAAATTAGTCCAACTATTTGGTTGAAAATTTACCCGAAGCTCATTGTCTTTCTTCAATTTTCATTAATGTGTCATTAAGGGTTCTATTATGGAAATCATGTCTTGATTATGAAAGAAATCTCTGTAATTTGTTGTCAGCAAGCAATATGCACCACGACATTAAGGTGTAACCCAATGGTTTATAGTAGCCACACTTTAGGGTGTGGTGAGTGGGAAATCAAGGGTTTAAACTGATGTAGTAACGACGAATCCTTCGGTTGTAATCTAATTATACTAACATATTAATGTTATCTTCGACCCCAAAAAAAAAAAGAAAAAGAAAAAGAAAAAAGCAATATGCACCACAATTGTACGGGGAGCAAATATTCATCGCTGTCCGTACTCCTCGTGTCTAAGTTTTGCTTCACTCCGAATAACCTGAGAACACAACGACGGTGAGTTACCCGGCGGGTGTGATGTTGGAAAACCCCTCTGATGATCAAGTTAGCACCCTTCTAGAGAAAGAAAGAGAGAGGAGACAAATTCATATAGCCCTGATAACCAAAATTGCAAACCTGTTGTATGGAGGCGCTGCATAGTTTAAATAGCTTCTGCGTGCACCACTCTGCTCATCCTTTTCTAGACACGTGGTTGTGCTGCCCTCTCTATTACTTACACGTGCATGCATCAATACTACCAAACAATATTTGGCCAAACCGCAAAACGGTATTGACTCGCAACTTTAGTGGATTCCTCTCTTTGCATTCCGATTGGGCCATGTAGCAAATCCTACCGAGTTACTTCCTGCATAGCGCTACAATCCGCCCTTTGGAACCGCATTACTCTCGACCAGCCAAAATTTGAGGCTTCTAGCCGACTTCTTCAGCCGTACCCATTCGTTCCTGCTAACCTTCCTCGGCCTTGGACCATCGCTTCACCTAGCTCGGCTAATGATCCACGTTGAACAACTAACCTGGTCCAACTTCCCGACCTCGGGCTAACTCAGCCGCGTGATCTAGAGCCTTGACTAATCTGCCCTTGGCTATGCTAACTTAGTTGCGTAATCCAACGGCAAGGCCCAAGTGTAGACATCCCATTTTTTACTGCGCTTAAGACTTGGGCGCCATTGATTGACCACTCAATGATGAATGTGTGCGCTTGCCAAATGCTCGATGTCCTCAGTAAGAAACCTTAGTTTTGAGCTTCAAAAAAACCCCAAAACCCACAAACCTTGTGCCTTGTTTTGGACTAAAATAGTAGTTGTTCAGGCCTGAGCATCCAGGGACTGGCAACCCACTTTTTTGGCCTGAAACCCACTTTTTTGAGCTGCAACCCACTATTAATGGCCGACCACTAATAGTGGGTTGCCGACCACTAGTGCAAAACCTAGATATTTTTTTGCTAGTTGTTTCCACACTGCACCAGCTATTCCTATGTAGATATTTCTGAGATAGACACATGGTTTTCTATATATAGAGGACCTCTCCTCTTGCTTTCGAGGTGAGAAAAATTTAGGAGTGAGAATATTTTTGAAGAGGAAATTTTAGAAAATTCCTCTCTCTTTACAATTCTCTCTCTCTCTTGCAACTTGCATAGCCTTTGCTCAAATACTCTAAACCAAACCTAGAGAGCTTCTTGTTGAGGTGATTTGAGATTGAATTTGAGCTCTTGAGGCACTTGAGAGTGTGAAATTAGTGGTTTGTAACTCAAAGAAGCATTCCTTTGCAAGATGTATACTTTCTAGTCCTTTTGTACCATCTTTCCATCACTTGTTTTCCATCTTTTCTTACTGTTTTTAAGCTATTTAAAAACCAGTATTTTTGGACTGAAACTTGTGGTTTAAGGCCATTAAAGGTAGAGGGTTGACAACCTTTCTTTGAACCTTGCTTCTAAGGCCTTTACCCTTGTGTGTCCCACATTCTCATCAACATTTTTTGAGCTTTTTACCACTAATTTTTAGAGGTTTTTCAAACGCAAAAATCATGTTTTAAAGTCCCAAAAATGAAGGGGTTAGCCTCCTCTCCTTGTGCATGTGTGTTAGCTTTAATTCCTCAATATTTTAGCTTATTGTTTTAGCTATTTTTATCTTCATTCCAGCACTTTTTTGGACTATTTTAGGACTGCTTTTAATTATTCATTGCATTTGAGCTTTGTATAGCATGCTTGTAGTGTAATGGTCCTCATAGGCTTGGTAGTTTAGGCCTTAGCCACCAACCTATTTGAGTTGATAGTGTTTATTTCTTACTTTCCATACTTGTATTCATCTCTTATCACCTCTGCAACCTCCCTCATTTCTTGGTTTTTTCTTTGTTTTGAAAGTTGTTTCAAACTAATTGCTTGTTTAAGCTTGAGATTGAGGTTGTTGTACTTAATGGTTTAATCCCTTTGGGGGTTCATTACCAATGGCATGACATCTTTCTCATGTCCAAAACAACTCTTTGTTTAATGCACCTTTCCATTAGAGGACTTAAAGCTCACTTTTGGACTTAATGAACTAAGGAATGGATGGTAATTAAAATGAAGTAATAAAATTGGTACCAAAAGTGATATAAGATAATAAAATTAATTTGGGTTCAATCGGACGTTAGTTGAATCCATTGAGTCTTGAGTTGTTTCATACTTGTTAGTGATGTAAACGGTTCAAGAGTCAATGTCAACCATTTCCCTTGATCAATCCATGATAGGGAAGGGGTTTTGAGGGTCTTTAAATTGTGCATTTATTGAATTGTGTCCCTTGATTCATAAGTCATCACGCAATGAAATTGCGCTGATTAATGATTTGTGAATCAAACCTACTCCTCCTTTGACCTGTTTGATGATAATGAGAGACAAGGTTGACAAACATCCTTTGAGAATACTTTGGTTTGTGCTTTGTTTGTCCTCTGTTACTGCAGGAGAGCACCACTATTAGTGGCCGACAGACCACTTCTTCTGGACGGCAACCCACTATTAGTGGCCTGCCGGCCACTACTTATGGGTTGTCGGCCACTTTTTCAAGGCAGGTAGTCCCCTTTTTCTAGTAAAGTAGAGCAGAAGCTGAGGTGAAAAACAGTGCATTTTTTCAACTGTGCAATAGAGGCATTCTAGTAGCAAAACGAAGAGCATTATTGGGTGAAAATCTGCATCCATGCATGAGCCCTCCCTCGATCCTCATGATCCGTGAAGTGTTGTTGTAATAATATTACTGTTGTGCTTGAAGTACTGGGTTTGTAACTAATTAGTTAGAATAGCTAGTTAGTTTAGTTTTGTATTGTAATTATTTAATTAGCTAGAATAGTTAGTTAAATTTGTTGTAAAAAATAGTTAAGTAGCTTATCTAATTTATTTTCATTCGTTTTGTAATAGTTAGTTAATTAGGTAATTAATTAGCTAGGTTATTCAATTGGACCCTCTTGAGTGAGGGCAAGCAATTGTAATAATGTGTATGTCTTCTAATCCCACGTCTTTCTCCCTTTTATTTACTTGCTTATGATGGGTAGTTAAAACATTATGTTTCAATTAGCATACTTTATGTTTGCATCCATTTGTCTTGCATGAATCGAGGCTTGGTTCATCATTCTAATAAGTATTGTAGTTTACGTACCTCGTTGAAAACGTGTTAAAACGCATGCTATCAAATTGACTCACATTTCATAATTAGTAGTCGATCGCATGTGTTGCATTAGGCATGTTGCATTAGTTAGGAACATGCATTTTTCTAACTCTTTTGTTTCTTTTGGCTCACCTTGGAGTACTAGGTGGGCATTTTTGTGCTTTAGCATATTGCATAAGTGTGATTGTTGCCACGTTTAGCATGCTTGCTATGAGGCTAAGTGCTTAATTGATAAATTGCTTGAATGCCTGTGAATGAAGGCTAATAGCTTAAATTGGAACAATTTGAATAATGTATATATGAGATCACTTTTTCAAGTGATACATATTCGAAACACTTTTCAAAAACAAACATGAAATCAAATGTTCCACTCTTTGCAAATTAGTCTATACTTGTGTGCATCACATAGTAATAATAGTCCAATAATCGGAACAAGAGCATATAATGTAAATAAAAATCACATCATGATTAGTAGAGGTCGATCTTTTGATTGGGCTAGTGGGGTGCTCAATTTATGACCTTCCCTTCTTGGACCTAAGTTCCCGAGCTGAGACAATCTTGGTGATGACGGACACGTGGCCTTTGGGATGAGTTAAGGATTTTCTAAATTTTTTAAAATATTTAAGTGGCGACTCTATATCTAACAAAGTAGTCCATTTTTGGCATTTTGATTCAAAATCGATTTTTCAAAAGATTTTCCAGATTTGGACTCTTTGGTGTTTGTCTATTTCACATTACACTTGTGAGATCAAATTCAGAACCGCAGGAGTCCAAACTGTAGGGCTACAACAAGTCACAACTGTAGAGCACTAAAAGTTGAGCTACACCAAGTCAGCTCTGTAACTTTGCTCGCCAACTTGCTTCTTGGCGAGCAAAATCAGCTCGGCAAGGAACTCCAAAGTTGGCGAGCGAGGTTAGCTCGGCAACTTGCTTCTTGAAGAGCAAAATCAGCTTGGCAAGGAACTTCAACATTGAAGAGCAAAGTCAGCTTGACAACTTGCCTCTTGGTGAGAAAAAAGCAAGGTCAGTTAGGCAAGGAACTCCAAAGTTGGTGAGTAATGCCATCTCGGCAACTTGCTTCTTGGAAAGCAAAATTAGCTTGGCAAGAAACTTCAAAGTTAGCGAGCAAAGTCAGCTTGGCAACTTGCTTCTTGGCGAGCAAAATTAGCTTAGTAAGAAATTTCAACACTGGCGAGCAAAGTCAGCTCAACAACTTGCTTCTTGGCGAAAAAATCAACTCGACAATGAACTCCAAGGTTGGCGAGCAAGGTTAGCTCGACAACTTGCTTCTTGGGAAGCAAAATGAGCTCGGCAAGGAACTCCAAAGTTGGCGAGCAAAGTCAGCTCGACAACTTGCTTCTTGGCGAGCAAAATCAGCTCGGCAAGGAACTCTAAGGTTGGTGAGGAAGGTCAGCTTGACAACTTGCTTCTTAGCGAGCAAAATCAATTCGGCAAGGAATTCCTAAGTTGGAACGCAAAATCAGCTCGGCAACTTGCTTCTTGGCGAGCAAAATCAACTCGGCAAGGAACTCCAAAGTTGGCAAGCA